GATATTACCACTGACTCTCTCACATACTATCATAGCCATGCAGCTTTTTTATGACAGCTGTACCTTTTATAGTTAGAACAGATAGCATTATAACTTTACAATCTAACATTGCTCTTTAAAGCATTAAAATCACTAAACTAAAAGTTAAAAACACTAAATTAAAACTACATTTTAACTGCGATAAGAAACACACATTAAGTAGTAATTAAGTAATAAGCTTAGTAATTAGGACTGTATTAGCTTACATTTTATTTACCCATTACAATAGTCCCTTTACAGTTACTGTTATCATAAGAATACACCTATATGTAGGTTTAAAATTCTACAAAAGGCACATTTAATGTCCAACAACGAATATTTTAGCAAAATGATTGCGCTCCATCTGTTTAGCGTGCATGTGCACAGCAGCGCTTGTTCACTCGCGTATGCCTCGCCCACTCCTGACAGCAAGCAAAATGGATATATCTGCATGACTTTCTAACATTTACAGAGGAAAAATATACTCGTGAAATGTCAGTTATGCACTGAGGAAAACACAACGTCTCAAATCCATTAAACAGCACAAATATATTTGCTGTTTGCCATGGTGGATCGATTTGATCCATGATCGACATTAAGGGCTGCTTAAGATTAAGCGTCCACAAATTAGTTAGATTGTGTGAACTTACATTGTCGTTTATGGAACTGCTGTTATCTCCGATTGATTTGTTAGGTTATTTCAAGTCAGATTTTGGACTTTAATCCCCGCTGTTCCTCAGGTCTCTGAAGTGTTGTTGTGATAGCCTACGTCATATTCACGGGCAGAGGGGATGAGAGAACGCGCTTGAGAAACAGTTTCAAGAGGAGAAATCAATCTACATACAAAATGTTGGTCACAGATTATTGGTCACTTTCTAAACAATAAAAGTGTAGCCATCCACTAGTAATTATATATAAATAAATCGTTTTTTACCGATGCAAATATGTTAGAAACGATGTATCGCGATACAAATGCCAACTTGTATCTGATGCACACTTTTTAAACCGATGCATTGCATAGTTAACTATTTTTGCCGATGCACCGAGCATGTCCGAAATTTAATTTAATTATATATATATATATATATATATTAAAAAGAAAATAAAAACACGTGTACTACAATAGACGAGGAGAAATCAATCTACATATAAAATATTGGTCACTTTCTAAACAACAAAAGTATAGCCATCCACTAGTAATTATATATAAATCAATCGGTTTTTACCGATGCAAATATGTTAGAAACGATGCATCACGATACAAATGCCAACTTGTATCCGATGCACTTTTTAAACCGATGCATCGCATTGTTAACTTTTTTTGCCGATGCACCGAGCGAATCGGTTAATCTTCCCATCCCTAATATATATATATATATATATATGTATATAACTATTCGATTACATGTCTTTCCTCTATATTCAGGAATTCAGGAATATTTCTCTGCTCAAATTTCTCTCTATTTGTACCTCTTACCTTTCTCTTCCTTGTGGTGAGGACCTGAAATGCCTGGATCTGTTTCTTTTCTCTGTCCCAGGCCACCGCCTCTGAATCCAGAACACAGGACCGCACGTTCTCTTTCTTCACCTGCGTGAGAGAGGTAAGGACATTTATTAAATCTACTATCAACACCTGAATATAAACTGGATCATCGACGCCAAGTAATGTCTCACCCCGCAGGTATGCCCCTCACAGCCATAACATCTTAAAATTACTTGTTTATAAGGTCACCTGAGGTTTAAACACTACCACTTCACCAACACATAACCCATCGAACCCTGAGGCTGTGTGACATTTACAATTCAATAGATGTTACAAGTGCATATTGAGTTTGTGAGAGCTGCAGCAGAAGGTATGGGGCGGTTTTGTAAACGTTAATAATCCTCCCACATAATTGAATGCATTCACATAGTCAGTGTTTGGGATTGACAACGGAATTTAATAACAGATGTGCCCTGTTCATACAACAGCTTACAGGAACAGCTGGAATTCAGTCTGTATGAATAACTGAAGTCAAGCCCCGTTTCTATTCTCATGACTACTAATAATACAACTTGTAACCATAGTGACAATGACTAAAGGCTCGTTCACACCAAGAACGATAACTACTGATAACTAACGTTTCAATAATCATTCTTATCTTGGAGAACAGGGAAGTCCACACTACAACTATAACGATAACGACACAGAGGAACAATATTGTTGAAATAGTGTTTTTTTTCTAGCTGATTAACAATAAAAACATTGACAGCCAATCAGAATCCACTTAAAGAGTTTGAGCATTTAAAGCAGCAGATGACAAAACTGTAGCATGCACTGACAGAAGCTTATGAGTCATTAGTGTTGACTAATACACGGTGAAAGCCGATCCGGCGATCCACAGCGCGAAGTTGATGTAAAATTGAAATAGCATCATATGACCCCTTTAAGGCCATGTTGAGACAACTTTAATGCTTGGGGCCCATTTTTGGCAGAATTTTATGGAAAGCTCATAACTCCTAAATTAACTCTTTCTGTTAAAAAAGTGTGTTATTTGAGCTGTAAATTGGTTTAAATCATTTTTACCGTCATTTTAGTGTTTATGGAACTTCATCATTATTGTACAATTGGATTTCCACACAAAAGCTTCCTAAATTTTTCACATTAAAATCATGTTATATACTATTGAAACTATTATTAATAAAGTATTTTAATGTTTGTGGTTTCGGCTCCATTCTCTTCAATTGCAAGTGCCTCAGTGTAACCCTGATTTTTTTTTCATAAAAGGAAATACAAGAGGAAATTAAATTTTGTGGTAATCATCATTATGGAAGAAGTACTGTCAATTGAGCTTAATTTGTATGAATTAATAAACTTAATTTAAATTAAATTATTTAATAAGTCCAATTAAGTGCTAGTTTGTATATATAAATGCATTTGTCAAACTTTTTCATTACCAAGAACGTTACCATATTTAGCACTCCAAAACACGACTGACAACTGTATTCTGCTGCCGAGTTAACTTATTAATTCCCCACATGACATCTTGTTTACAACTCAGACAGTTTTGATTCTTGTACAATAATTTGATACTTGTACAATAATGAGATTTTGCATTGAATATCAGACAACTGAGAAAGGGAAGGCAGAGAGAGATATTACGGTTCTGAGATTGGATATGGACACTGATAAGCAAAACATCAGCGTTTTCATTGATTTATCTGCGTGTGAGCTTGTGTCATTCATCAAATGCTTTCTTTGCTTTAGGGCTGGAATCCATTATTGCGTTCTTGTGAGGAGAACAGAGCAGGATGACAGAGGACAAATATGGCCTTTGAAAAAGAGAGAGAAAGAGACAGATACAGAGAGACTCGCAGAAACAAAGAGAAAGAGAGAGTCTGTGAGAAAGACTCTAACAGCGTATCCAAATCAGGTGTGATCTCAACCAAGTTAGTCTGAGTTTCTGCAAACATTTCATCAGGCGCTTGGTTTTCTATTTTAGTCATGTCATGTTGGGAACCTCCACCCACGGTGAAATCTCATTTGAACAGAGTACCAAAATTGCTGCATATTTAACATCACATGTTCTGACTGGCAGTGGTTTTTCTTACCAAAGGCTGGAATACACCACACGACTTTCGCCCAGATTTTTGCCCAGATTTACAGCCTGGATGAGCTGACGTTGGTTGCCAAAAGTCAAAGTCAATTTGCAGACATTGAGCAGCAGATGTTGACACATTTCACAGAAAATCATGTGATTTTAGAACACATTATTTTCATTTGTCATGCATCTTTTAGCAATGAGGCACATGTTTATTGTTGAATCTTGAATGTCACTACCAGACTTGAATGCCTGGTAGTGTGTGATCCTCAGTCATTTAGATTTTAAAATTCCTGTATTGTATTCCAGCCTTAATGCCTGTATTGTATTCCAGCCTTAGGTAAAACTGTAGTCAGGTGCACACTGCGGGAGAACTGTACAACAGCTGTCAGGAATGTGCAATATTAGTGAGATATTGGGTGAAAGCCAAGGCAGACTGTGCAACATCAAATATCCTGATTGTACAAGATACATTTTGAGTTGTGACACACATTGCATAGGCGTTTGAAGTCACCAGTCCGTGTCAGTTCTGAAATATATGATCGCTCCATTTTAGTATTATTTTAATATACTACAATAGTAATTATTCAGATTTTGAACAAGCTTTTATTTTGTTATTTCTACATTTCTTTCTTTTTTTTTTTCAGTTTTAGTAATTTTAACACAAACTTATTTCAGTTAGTTGTCAAAGCAGCATTTATATTTGATTTAAGTTTTTCATATCATACAGTATTTATACTTCATTTTAATTACTGAAATATTTTTAATAGTTTTTTTTTTATTATTATTTTAAAAATCTCTATATTAGTATATATTAAGCATCGACCCCAAAATGTTTTACATAAAACATGACCAACATAACCACTCTGCCAGAAACTCTAAGGCTAAGATTTCTTAGCAAAAGCAATTAATTGGGCATCAGTGAGCATGTCACACTGAGGCTTAGGCAATCCCAGACTGCCAATTTTGCCGTATGATGGAATCTTTAATTATCCCTGAAATTAGACAGCCAAATTGTGGAAAGAAATTGGACAGTGTGCACCTATGTTTAAACACAGAGATTTGCTTTTGTGTCCATCTGATTTCTATTTATTTCTATCTTTCTGGGTGCATATGTGTTACCTGTGGGATTCGAGAAATAATATCAGGGTATTTGCTTGTGTTGTCTTCTTGGTTTCGGCTAAAAATGCGCAACTCTCCATTCTCAAGAATATGGATCTGTTAAATGCAAAACAAAAAAGCAATTAACATTTTAATCATTGATATTGCTATGGAAACAGAAAGTCACTTTTATGGCTGAGGCTCCACCTTGTGGAATAAGAATAAAACAACACACACCTGGGCTCTCTCTCCATCATATTTATACTCGCAGGTGAAAGCTGCCTCATCGAAACGTTTCATTACCTCACCAACCCCTTTAGTCGGGTGAGCCAACATTGGTCGCAGGGGCACACCTGTAAAACACAATGCAGTTTAGTCTCATTCTAAACTAAATTTTCTTTTTGTTGGTGGGAGAACGGAGCAAGTGGTGTGATTGGTCAGTACCTGGGGTGAGCTTGCAGTGATTGGGCAGTTCATCTATGCCCTCCTTCATCAAAACAGGAATGATTGCATCATAATTTGGCATCTCACTGGGAGGAACAATATGAGGGAAAACATTATTTGTATGCATTGAGGTGATATATAGTAACGGCAACACCTGCCCAATTTGCTAAACTCAGACTTCCTGTAGGGTACAAATTATACTCATTAAGCAGGCACTTGTTATGCAGTGGACACCTGCAGTCGTAATTGAAATATTGTTTGTAGTATATGGATAATTATCCCTCACAGCACCAGTTTGTGTTTGACAATCAGGTTTGTGTATGCTAGCCAATAGGGTAGAATATAAAAAAAATCTTGATTTTTTCAGCCTTGTGATTGGACTTGTAGTTACATGCATATACATCCATCGCAATATGAATATCTTTTCACTAAACGGACAAGGAAGAATTACATTTGTACATATCAATAGTTTATACAGCTACTTAAACATTTTTGCGGTAATGAAACAGACTTCCAAAATCTTTGCTAATGAGCTCTAAACCAGAGACCCTATTAAAATATTTTCTTTGAGTCACAAGACAAGGAGGGTGAAACCAGTCTGGTTACATGGTCTTTAGAAAACATAATTAGCAAAATAAAAACAGAAATATGACCAAAGCCATTTTAACGAGTCAAAAACATTATTCAGCCTTTTGGGGGTATCCGAAACACCACATATTAGGGCTGCACGATTATGACAAAAATCATAATTGCCGATTATTCCCTTGAAATTGTAATTGCGATTATTAATTACGATTATCACAATTTACATTGAATGATGTTTATACCATTGTTTTATGCAACTGCATGCTGTATTTTTATATGAAAATAAACAAGCTGAAAACACTCTTACTGAAAATCTTTTAGTGCTTTTCTATAGTATTAAGCCTCAAATGTCAACTATACATCGGATTGGTTTCTTCTGTAAATTATAAAAAAGTACAAATATGAATGGTATTATAATGTTATACTAAAACTAAAATTAAAATAATGGGAAAAACCCTTAAGATAACATGTAGAAAGAAAAAAACGCATCTTAAGCACGCAGAATAACATAAGTGGACTTTGAACGATTAATTGCCGCTTTGAACGATTACGTAATTGTGGCATCCATAATTGTAATCACGATTAGAAATTCGATTAATTGTGCAATCCTACCTCATATTATTTACAATGGTGTTTTTCCCCAATTGGAGGACCTAAAATATATTTTTAAACTTTATATGAAAACTAATGAATGAAAAGCCACAGCTACTTACGTGAATATTTTTGAGTATTGATGCAAACCCCTAAATCAGTTTTAAACTTAAATTAAATTATTAAATGTATTAAAGTGATTTATGTAGATGAAACTATCACTTTTTTACCGTGCTTAATTAAGAAATTATTACAGTAGTTGAATTCTGCCCACATATGAATTACTAGATAAGGAAGAATAGTGAAACGAGTGTGTGTGTGCATTTAGTTGATCAAAAGTACAGTAATAAAGTACATTTGTGAAAAATCAGTGTATTGTTATTTTTGTACATTTTAAAACATTATTTTTTGTGATGGCAAAACTACATTTTTTAAATGTAATTAAATTTTGTAACATACTTGTATATACATAAATGTTTTTATTGGTACTTTTAAACAATTTTTGATCAGTGTTTTGCAGATACACACACTCACCAGTATGTCTGTTTTAGGATCAGTGCTTTCTCCTCCAGCCACACTCTCCGGTTTTCTGCACTCATTCCTTTCCCTGCATTCAGCACAGCTGGTGGGAACTCTGAGCCAACACAAGAAAAACATATTAGTAACATTTCAGCACTGCTAAACTAAATGGACACCTAATTAATATTTACATGTTTAAACGTTATTCATTTTTTATTCATCACGGCAGAGAGTAATCTAATTGCAAATGTCGAATGCCTGGAGGTTCTATCAATGCACTGATTATGATGTTTTTAATGCCAGTTTCATTAGGATCATTTCAAACCTTGGCCCGGGGGCGACAGACACACAGCCTGACTGAGAGCCGTGAGAACGCTCTGCTCAGCCAATCCGATCCGCAGCTTCCCAGCCAGTGACCTGTCAATCGCACAAGCAACCAATCAAACTAACATATTTCACTTCCGCATTAATATTCATATTAATCTGTCACCATACAGCAGTATAATCAAGGCCAGCAGCACATCATTTAGATTTAGCAAAAATCAACTGTCATCTATAAATTACATTCATTATTCAGTATTTTTCAGAATGAACTCAACATTTCTGCATGTTTGGTCAGATGATAAATTTAAAAAGTCGTAAGTGAAAGGTAAAATGACGCACCGCACAATGTATCGAGCCTCAGAAAACCGACACGCCACAAACAAGCCTTTAATAATGTCAATCTTCTTATTCATTGCCTAACACAGAGAGAGAAAAAGAGCAAGAGAGAGAGGAAGTGGATTTTCATTGAGAACACTCAAATGTTTTTTGTTTTTAAATTGATCAAAAGTGACAGTTAAAACACTTACGTCATAAAAGATTTTATAGAAATTAATAATAAGAAAAATGTATTGAGCCAGCAAATCAGCATATTAGAATGAATTCTGTTACAAAAGATTTTTAATTGAAATAAATGCTGTTCTTTTGAACTTTCTATTAAAAAAACTCATGAAAAATAATGATCATGATTTCCAAAAATATGAAGCAGCAAAACAGGTTTGAAATGAATAATAAGAAGCATTTCTTGAGCAGCAAATCAGCATATTAGAATGATTTCTGAGGGATCATATGACACTGAAGAGTAATGATGCTGAAAAATCAGCTTTGCATCACAGGAATAAATTATATTTGAAAACATATTAATATTAAAAACTGTTGCATTAAATTGTAATAATACATTCACAATATTGTTGTCATTACTGCATTTGTACTCACAGAATTTCCACTCATGTTAGCAATCTCTTTCAGTTTGTTGAAAACGCCCCCTGCTGTCAGATTGGCCGGTGCAAACATCATTCTCTGGTTGCTGCGAGAACTTTCAGCAACCAATCCCAGGTCACCTTTCTCCTGAGCCTCCGCCTTGATTTTGTCCAGTTGTCGCCCTGGTAACAAAAGTTAACAGTACAGGGGTCAGGCAAGGAGAATGGTGAATGACATTAGGGAAAACACAAATATATTTACCAGTTGCTTGAGCGACAGCTTTCATCAGGACGGTCTCCCCAATGCCCAGCTCCAGACCCTGATATGCAGGGCCGAGCTGATTCAGACACAGGTACACACAGCATAACAGGTCATCTAAACAAACAACAGAATATTGAACAGATGGAAACTATTTTGAATGTATGCTACATTTTTGTGCTTTGCACAAGACCAAGTGAAAGTCTTTTCTTCAATCTGCCTCCCTAACAGAGTCATTAACCTGTTCACCTATTCACTACTTGGACAAAAAGTAAGAAAAACAATCCCTGTCAGGCATAAATAATTAATAACCTATTTAAATTCAATGAATACACACTCACCTGGAGAAAGCAGAATTACAGATCGCAGAAAGTTGGAAAGCGTTTCAATGTTCTTCAGCCTAAAAAAAGAAAAAATAAGACTGAAATTTAACTGCTCCACACACCTATTTTTAAACTCTAATAGATGTAAGAGAAAACACATACACAATATATACAAAATAATTCTACTTCATACCTGCCCGAATCCTCTTCAATCTTCTCAAAGGTGCGAGCGACAGCCAAATATGGCACTCTGAGAAAGAGATAACATACATAAATGAACTTCCATAAAAAAAGTGTCAAGCAAAGTTTATTGCTTTAGAAAGAAAACTGTATTTTGCAATTGTATTAAGCTGTTTGTTAGAAAAAGACTTTAGTGGAATAATCGTTTCCAACTTTCTTGATCTTATAACAATGATATATAGTGCTGCAGGGATGACATATTTTCGTAAGTCAATCCAGAAGTTAGCATCAGCCTGGTTCCGACACAAAAGAGCCAATAGGATTTTTCCATTGGCTTTTGCATTATTGCAGAAAATAGCTATCAAAGTTGATTCTTACACATTCTGTTCATAAATATAATCTACACAAATGAACAACTTATAATTAATTTGAAGCCTAAATACAATCAAAACAAGTAAAAAGCTTTTCTTCAATCTGCCTCCCTAACAGTCATTAACCTGTTCACCTATTCACTACTTGGACAAAAAGAAAGAAAAACAATCCCTGTCAGGCATAAATAATTAATAACCTATTTAAATTCAATGAATACACACTCACCTGGAGAAAGCAGAATTACAGATCGCAGAAAGTTGGAAAGCGTTTCAATGTTCTTCAGCCTAAAAAAAGAAAAAATAAGACTGAAATTTAACTGCTCCACACACCTATTTTTAAACTCTAATAGATGTAAGAGAAAACACATACACAATATATACAAAATAATTCTACTTCATACCTGCCCGAATCCTCTTCAATCTTCTCAAAACTGCGAGCGACAGCCAAATATGGCACTCTGAGAAAGAGATAAAGAAAACATACAACAATGAACTTCCATAGAAAAAGTGTCAATCAAACTTTATTGCTTTAGAAAGAAAAATGTATTTTGTAATTGTATTAAGCTTTTTGTTAAAGCCTTGGGGGAAAATTACTATAACTTTAGTGGATTAATCATTTCCATTTAACTTTCTTGATCTTATATAACAATGATATTAAGGTCTTGCAGAGATTTTTGCACATTTTTGCAAGTCAATTCATAAGTTAGCATCACCCTGGTTCCCTTGGCAGAGGAGCCAATAGGATTTTCCATTGGCTTTTGCATTATTGCAGAAAATAGCTATCAAAGTTGATTCTTACACATTCTGTTCATAAATATAATCTACACAAATGAACAACTTATAATTAATTTGAAGCCTAAATACAATCAAAACAAGTAAAAAGCTACAAAAGCAATGACAGCATGCACACGCTACTTTGTCATATCCACTAAGCTTCCAACAAATCTTTCAATGTTAATTTAAAGTCTACAAGCTGGAAAGTTTGAGTTAGAATAGTTTGAAAGAACACGAGAATAAACACAACCAGACTAGTGAGTATAACAGTAGCAAAAATGCTACTGTAGCTCGGTTTATTTTTTTGGACTCATTTCTGCAGCACACTGTTATATAACTAATCAAATGCAAAATTTACTTTTGGCCCTTCCTCCAGCAGGCGTGGTCAACGGGATGGTAATGTGCTCTGGAGGGATCATACTGGCTCTGGACTGCAGAATCCACCCCCTTTTCACTGTCAAAACAATAAAGATTATTCAAATGGAGTCAAAGAAAAAAATTGTGCCCTTTCAAAACAAACAATTATATTTTTTAAGTAAAATATTCCAAGTCAGATTAACATTTTAATTTTTTTTTACTTCAACCTTTTCTTCTCTTTCTGTTCAGCAGCATCAGAGATCTCCCCATCCTTCTTTTTTTCTCCCTCATTTCGCTCCTCTTTTTCCAGTTTGACAGCTGCCTTTCTGGGAGCTACAAGAGATTGTAAGATGTAAGTTATAAATTAATGTAAAAAAAGAGTTAAACTAAAAATAAAAACTGTTTCAGTAATCATGCAGGTTTGAGATGTCATGGGGGTAAGTAAATAATGGCAATGTTCATTTTGGAGTGAACCACCCCTTTAATTAAAAAGACGGAAGATAACAAAGAGAAAGAAAAGGACAAAAAGTTTACCAAAAAAGCTGCTGATGGGTTTCTTTTTGGCCGATCCCCCTTCCTCCTCTGTGTTTTTTTCTTTTTTAACCGCTCGTTCGGGACTGCTATGTTCCTTCTCTTTGTTGTCTTCTTTTTTTTCTTTCTTCCCATTTTCTACATTTATCTTTTTCTCCTGTTTTACCTTATTTTTAACCTTTTCTTTCATCTTATTGTTTGCATTGTCCTCAACTACGGTTGTTTTTGCTTCATCCTTCTCTTTCTGTTCCTCCACTGCAGTCTTCCCATCTGCGCTCTTCTCTTCCACCTCCATCATCTCATTGTCTGAGTTGAAGAGAGAAAGAGAAGAAACAGTGAGAAACACATTAAGATAATGGAGATGTTATACCTGTGCGCAGAGATCAACTCATCTCACCTGTCTGTCCAGGTGAGGCCTCAACTCGTGCTCTCTTACTCTCCTGCCCTTCGTCGACCTCCTTCCCCTCCTCTTTTGCCCCCTCTCCATCACTTCTGCTTTCCAGCTTCCTCTTGGGGAACTGCTTGCGGGCTAGAGAATGGGAGAGGGACTTCAATCCCGTATAGCCTACTGTATTATATTTAAAACATAAACTTTCCTGAAAATCCTGTGGTACACAATCTACTACGTGCCTTTTTTGGAGCATTAATTAAAGAAAGAATAAATGATCAGTAGCACAAGGAGGAATGTGAGAAGAAGAGAATGACACAGACCGGTCTTGCGTTTGGGAATGCCTGACGGCGATGTTGATGTCGGAGTTGCTGGAGTTCCCGGAGTACCTGAGGAAGCAGGGGTTACCACCGCAACAGAGGTACTCGACGTGACCGGAGTCGTCGGGGTTATGGGTGTTTTTGGAGAAACCGGAGTGGAAGCAGCCTTTGTAACATCAGATTTCTGTGTATTTAACATAGTAAGACAGAAACAGAATTGTTAACAAAAATACTGACATCTCTTAATGGTCGAAGCTCATGATAACTCAATAAATCTTACCTTCTCTGGCTTTACTGGTTCAACTTCACTCTGTTTTGGCACCTGCTCTTTTACTATCGGCTGATCTTCATCATCGCTGTCTATGATTGCTCGACTGCGTTTATGAACCTTCTTTACTGGTGAATCGCTTTCCTGCATACCATTCTGAATTTTGAGGGGACTTTTTACAGGTCTGAGCAGAAGGAAGAGAAAAACATTATCATTATAACATTGCTTATTTGTTTTAATATTCCTTCAACTCCACAGCTGTCACTGTTACCAACGAGAATACACACAGAATCAACACAAAATGAGTTTTGAGGTTTCTACAACATTGTGTTCAATTAGAAAAAAAAAAGCTTAATTCAACATGTTTAATTGGGAAAACATTGCTAAATATCACTTACTCAGTCTTTGCTTTGACCTGTCCATCACTCTTCTCCTTACTTTTCATTGGCTGAAAGAATGACCTGTGGGCGGGAAACAACGAGATCACGTTATAAAGACAAATGAACTCCCTCAACTTGATACGGTATTATAATTTCTGACATAAAGATTTTAAAGAAATGCAGTTTAAAGGAAAACCCTTATTGTCGCAGTTAGTGTAAGTTAGTTGGTGTAGGTTAAACGCGGTCTTGAATCAGAATCAGACACTGCATGTAACGTGAATGTTCTGTGGTCAACATCACAGATAAAAAACAGAAGAGCAGGACACACTCACGCGATGCTTCGCTGCATCGTTGGGATCTTGCACTGCTGATGCTGAATAAATCCGGAATATATATTTTTAATATATATTTTGGCGTGTTATTAAAATTTCTAAAGCATGGATGTTTTCTTCCGCGCGCTTAACTCTGTATAATTCGGCGCCAACGTGACGTCGTTCCCGCAGACTACAGAAACAGCGGGATTTATTTAGTACAACAGCATTTTAGTGCCGCCTGTTGGCTTGGAGGTATTGGATGCAACCGTAGATCGTTAGGAAAAATTACTCTTTTTTTTGTATTTTTTATTTTTTTTACTCAAATTCAGTCTATTCACAGATTCATACTGCCACTAAAATAATAGGATTTAGTTTCCTTCTAGGTCATTGCTTCTCAGCCTTTTCCTTCTTTTGTTTTCTCCGAAGAAGTAAGTAACCTCTTAATCAACCGTGTGTGTGTGTGTGTGTGTGTGTGTGTGTGTGGGGGCGGGGTCCTGGTAGTTAGCCTGCATTATGGGGACCAAGTGTCCCCACAAGTATAATAGGTCTACCAGTAAATTTGGACCTTGTGAGGACATTTTTGGTCCCCATGAGGAAACCAGCTTATAAATCATACAGAATTGTCATATAATAAGAAAATATAAAAATGCAGAAGGTTTTGTGTGAGGGGTTTATGGGTAGGGTTAGGGGATAGAAACTACAGTTTGTACAGGATAAAAACCATTACGTCCATGTAATGACCCCATAAAACATGGAAACTCAATGTGTGTGTGTGTGTGTGTGTGTGTGTGTGTGAGAAATTCTTTTTTTCCATTTGTTTGAATATTTTTAAAAACAATTTTTGTTAAAGACAATTCTAATCACCATTCATGTGTTTTTTTTTAAATACATATGGCCTGGAAATGTATTTTACAAGATTTCTGATAAGAAAAGTTGTTTTTGTGATGAGATATCTGAACAGCGCTGATTATTGTAATGTTCAAATTCAATAGTGTCTAAAAGCTGAATGAAATACTGTACACAGAGATTTATGAGAGTGATATCACAATTTCTGCATACTATATTGATATTCTTTCATTTTTTGAATCCAGATTAGGAAGTGCAGGAATCAGTATGATTTTACATGAATATTTGTGTTGAGTTCCAGTAGGAATGACGTACAGGTATTGCGGTATGAGATATGTTCTGTCTCCCTCCCTGCTCTGTCTTAAGCTGGATGTTTAGGTGAACCCCACATGAAGAAAACAAGGCTGTCAACATACTTTAGAGTGTGTGAGATGTGTGAGGTATAACTCACACACAACACATATATGCTGATGTAATGAAGTACTTTAACTTTTAGTTTCTGCATTAGTCACACTCACATGTGATGCAGAAATGGTTGCTAACACAGCATTCTTGTAACAGTATTTTGAATGACAGATGAATTAGATAACTGAATTATTTTTCTTTTTCTTTTGTTATTCTGCCTATGAAGGCATTAGAAATTTGGCCAGTGTCTGAATTGTTGCACATATACTAGTTCTAGACAAGTGAGGCTGCTAGGTGAAAAAACATTTGTCTTGAAATACTCTGTTGATATGTCAAACTGACAGCCTGTGATATGCGGGGATTTGGTTGAGGTATTCCTGCTTTAAAAGAACTGGGCGGACTAGTTCCTACAGACTTTTCAGAAAGTAGCTCATTTCAAATAAGCCTAAAATATGATTGCACAACAAACACACAAAGGACTAATTGAACTTAAAGAAAAAGTTCAACGTATAGTAAAAAATTCTATATGCCCATTGTGTATGCAGAGTTAAATGATTTTAAAACGGGTCTCATGATCGAACAGACACAACAATGTTTGTCCAGTTAATTAATACGTACAAGAAATGAAAGACTGTTTTTGAATCCTCAACTTTCACGTGAGCCCAGTCATGTTAATTTTCACTTTCGTTTTATACATTTTAGATTGCAGTGCTGGGAAATTGGAAAATGCAGGCAGATGATGTAATGCAGGTGTGTCTTTAAATGGATGCATATAAACAGTCCGCTATAGTTCCCTTCTAGATACATACACAAGTTTTTGTTTTGAGGTATTGCTAATGGCCGTAAAGGAACTGACTATACTTGTGGTGTGTTCTTTGATTGTCTGTACTGGGCATGAATTCTTCACTTCAACGGGTATATTATTTATATTTGGATACAATATCAATGAATACATTTGAGTTTATTCATTTTTAATTGTTATTTTACTGTTTTGTCCATATTGTTTATACTGTTACCATAAAATTATTTTATTTATTCATTTGTGAGACACTTCTGCCTATAATCAGATTTACAATCCAATTTTCACTTTTTTTATTTATTGATTTAATGACTAAAAATGATTAACTTTCTCTTTGGTTTCTTATTAAACCTTTCTCATTATACCTCCAGTTATGTTGAAAAATAAATAAAAATAATTATAAGTTCGTTGACAATAAAGTGTAGGTGTAATTGTTTTATAGATACAATTTCACATCTTTTTGAGGAGGAGAAATTCCTTCTGGATGCCTTCAGTTCGTACATTGATGCTGAAGAAGAAATTGTAAAGAGGATGAAGAGGTGAAAATTCCCTATATATAAACCATGAAAGTACTTTTTATTAAAAACTTTTCAGTTTTCAGCAACAACCTGGTGTAGGAAACTAATTGTGACAACAATCTCATATCTGGTTTTAGATCAAGATTATATTATTAAATACATTTATTTAACACTATAAACATTTGATGAAATTTTATCTTCAATCCAGCGTTCTTCTTCTTCTTCAATTGGGCACATACTCAGACCCTGTGGACCCTGAGGAAATAAAAGACCCTGCGGCAGCTTTCATCCTCCTCATGCGACTGAGATCTGAATGGTTGAGCATTGAAAAATACACTTCGAGGAGTCTTTATGAATGTGAGATCTTATTTGTTTTTTAAGGGATATGTCTAAACATGCATTGTAGAATATGCATATATGAATACAAATCTGGAGAAGAACAGGTGATTAAAGAGTGAAACTCATATATATATTAAACTTTTTATTATGAAACTATTAAACAATGCAGTTGTTTATTGATCTGTTCTCATATTTGAAAATCAGACAACGTGTATCAGACACTGCTGGAATATGCACAGATCCCACAGGTAAAGGATTTGGAGGGTGCAGCTTTAGGACTGATCAGTCTGCAAGAGCTCTACAAACTCTACCCGCACAACATCACAAAGGGTGAACTGTCTACACCAATGTGGTTTCATTGCAAGAGTTTTGCTTTTTGTCCTTTCAAAACAAGTTCCAATCTGATTGATGCTTTCATTTCTCATTTCACAGAAACATCTTTAAATGCAGCTGAAGCCTACATTGTTGGGTTGGTCGCTTATAACGAGGACAAATTCCAGCATGCCTTTCTCTGGTTTCTGTACAGTCTGGACAGATTAACAGAATACTCAACCGTTACTGAGGAAGAGTTGCTCCATTACCTTAGTGACACAGCCTATCATTTTGGCAGCCTGCCTGTGGCAATCTACTTCAGCCAACGGCTTTTAAATCTGGGTGAGTTTATGGTGACATGAAGTTTAATACTGATAATTTTATATCAGAAGTCAGAAAGAGCTTTAATACCGTGACTTGATGACAGGAGCTTCCAGTGTAGAAGAAAGTACGGACATAATGCAGACATACATAACACAGTAGAATTGGAATATAACACTAATATAAGAAAAACAGAAAATGAAATAATAAAGACAATAATGCACTATATATACAGACGTAGAAGTGTAAAAAAATTGTAATGTTTAAATGAATGTACAGATATGTTATTTACAAGTGTGCAGTTTACAAATGTACAAATTTCGAATTCTATGTATAAATATGTCAGTTATGATGGACAATGTATAGTTATGGAAGTTTTAATTGTTCAGGTTGAAAAAAACTGTGCCTGGAGGTTGTCAGACAACTTTGCGATCAGACTATTGAAGTCATAAATTTCTTTGCTTCAGACCCAACTAACGATGAAGTCAAAGTTCAGCTAGACCTGTATAGACTCCTTCGCTACCAGAGAAAATCAAACCTAGACATATTCACGCTGAATAATGAGTCAAGTAACTCCTATGAGGCACTGTGCAGAGGAGAGGTTGATGAGAGGGCAAGTGCAAATTCTCAAATTTAAATCATTTTTGTACATGAAATTACAAACACTCAGTGTGAAGCTTTGTGCGTTAATTGATTGTTTATTATATTTGATCAGATCAGACCTCCAAGAGGCAGAGGGCACTGTCCTGTAGGTACAGCACAGGTGGAGGAAACCCCAGACTAATTTACGCACCAGTGAAAGAGGAAGTGGAGTGGGACGAGCCTGGCATCATCAGATATCATGACATTACAGGTGCATCTCAATAAATTAGAATGTCGTGGAAAAGTGACCTCTAGTGAATATCTAACACACACACACAAATTAATAAAATATTTGATTGTCAATATTATTAGAATCTAATATCTTGTTCATACTTTTGATTATGTTTTATTGTGCTGTTGAATTGGTAAAAGGGGCATTTCTTTTAAAAGTTGTATGGCCTCTTAATTCTAGTGAAGACAAATCTTGATGCAATGAAATATAATGATATTGTCAAGAATTGTGTGCTTCCAAATTTGTGGCAGTTGAAAGACTTAATAAGAGACGTTTTATTTGCTCTAACATGACAATGTCCCAAAGTGAGGTTCATAAAAAAATGATTTTCTTGTAAAAACCCAGATTGAACATCGTTGAAAATCTTCAGGATGAATTGGAGTGCTTTCAGGCCAGACTTTGCATATGGAGATTTGGTTGCCCATATACTTTTGACCATTTAGTGTGTATATATATTTATATTTGATGTTCTATTTACCTTTTGTGGTCTTCTGTAGCTTTCTAGGTCTGAGACTAGAGGGGGAGTGTCAAAGATCCGTACTTCTCAAAGGTGATAATCTAATTTTACCCATCATGTTCCCAACATTGTATAGTACATATTATAGTACAGCATTAGTACTTATATTATTTCTTCACACTTATTATGGGAAGAAAAATGGAAACACTTTACAGTGTGATTGAATTTGATGTAAAGTGCAAAGTTGTTGTAAAGTGGTTGTAAAGTATTGCTGAAAAATCATTTCCTTGTTTTCAGTGTTTCTCTAAAGGAAGACTACCCTGTGGTTGCTCGTGTCAATCAGAGGATTGCAGACATCACAGGACTCTCCATGGAATCAGCTGAAGACCTACATGTACGGTCATAGTAAATAAGAAATCACCTGTTCATGTGCAGGCAGCATATCTTTTTAAGGTCAACTCTTTCTCTGTCCTAGTCTTGCAACTAGCGTGGTCACATTCACTTGTATAATAATATATTATAATATAATATAATGATTCCAGGCAACATTGGTTTAAGAGCTTTGAGGGCTGATATTATATTTTCATATAATAATTTTATATTCACCTCATATATTGAACTTCAGTCTCATTTCAGGATTAACATGTTTTTTTCCTTGTGAAATATTATGTGTTGTTTTGCCAGAAATGTTTATTTAATTTAAGGTGCAATTATTTTCCAGGTTCAGAATTATGGCATTGGTGGCAAATATGAACCACATTATGATGCATGGGTAAGATCACTAAACTAAAATACAGCTATTACATCAATTTGGCCTATACAGTATTTGCTATGGATTCCCTTGTGTTAAATAATGTAGTTACTTGAAGAAACGTTCCCATTGTCCTAGATCTTTTCTTTCACATGTTTCACTCAATTGGTAAACAGTTTGTTGGTGGTGACAACACAATCCTGTATACTTATTGTTTGTTGGCATACATTATGCTGTGGCATTTAGTTTGCAGTTTTAAAAAGTGTCTGTGTGCAATTTATGTTGTTGATGAAAAATGTAACCAAGGCTATTTCCTTAACCAAAGCTCACTTTTAGGTCTTCAAACTGAATAGCTCTATTCTGTGTTATTGAGAGATTGATTACCTATTAACCAATCAAATCAACTATATTTAATCTCACAGGATACTGCGAATGGAAGGATTGCTACGTTCTTAATTTATGTAAGTTTTGCCCTCCAAATGCCATTGTAAACATTCAAAATTAATTTATACATTTATTTGCCAGATTACCTGTATTGTACAATCCTTATGAACAATAAATTATGTGTTCTTGCTGTAGATGAGTGATGTGGAGATAGGGGGCGCCACTGTGTTCCCTAAAGTTGGAGTTGCATTGAAGCCAAAAAAAGTAAACCCTCAAATCACTGATCTATACGGTATATTAGAATGATTTAAGTTAAATTCATGCATCAATTTTCTGCTGCTTAAGGGTTCAGCCGTGTTTTGGTACAATCTCCACAAGAATGGAAATGTGGATTTAAATACAGAGCATGCTGGATGCGATGGTCAAAGTAACCTAATAATGTAATCTATTAACTATGCATAAAAACCTGTCTGTTTACTTAATTAACAGATATGGGTGTCATGCCATAACATATTTTTAATACGACTGACTTTATATTTAATGTGAATTTAACACTGAAAGTTAATGTGAATAAAAACACTAATCATAATACTTTCATTGTACAGAAAGAGAGCAAAGAACATTTACATTATCAATGAACATTTTCACCGACAGTCTAGTTCAAGCACTCTCAAAAACTCCCATTAAAATAACTGAAGCTGTTTACACTATAAAAAGGTATATCTTACAGATTCGTACACACATTTGCACTTTGTTGTTTCTGACGAGATAATTCGCCAGAAAGAGGTATTCAGTCAGCGAGCGAGTGAAGAAAACGCGGCATTTTATCGATGACTCATCTGAACACCTCTGATTGGTCATTGCATTCATAAGCTCAACAGCATCGTTTGTGATTGGTTATAATGCGCAGTGCTGTAAAAACGCGTCTGTCTCTGGCTCAGCGCCAACCAGCGAAAGCAGATTTGAATTTAGCAGCTGATGATATGACGCACTGAGCGTTCTAATCACGCCGGTGTGATTGTATCAAATATAGAAAATATTAATAGGCTATTTTTTGTGTTTTGGAAGCTGCATTCAAAATCCACTTGGCTCAAAAATCTGAGGGGGCACGTGCCCCCTCACTTTGAATGGGCATGACGCCTCTGCTCATGTGTATCTTATATAATGTATAAATAAATCTATGTTAAAATCAGTCAATTTCATTTTAGTTTCAGATGACAATGAGCTATATATTTGCTGTCTTTTCAGTGGCTAATAAATGGATCCATGAGTTTGGACAGGAGTTCAGAAGACACTGTTCTTTGTCATACTGGACGTAAAAGAAACTGAGACCATGTAGAAATCATATTAAGTACTATCTGTTCTATAGTATCTGTTATAATTATCATGTATCATATAATTTTTGTATAGAATCTGTAACATAGATAATGTATACTGTATTAAATTTAACTATGATTTATTACTGTCAATGTGCCAGTAATGTAATATATGATTAAAAAAAGTGCAATAATTGCAATAGAGTAAAATAAAGTTTTAACCAGAGATCAATGGATAATCACTTTACCTGAGTGGATCAATTGTAGCAGCCAGTAAATGAGACGCTACTGTGTTCTGTGCAGTTGTATTTAAAGCTGATTTTTACATGTTTCCTCTTCAGTCTGTGTTGGAATGACAATTTATATGTTTTACAAGTTTTGTGGTATGCAGTTGTGTAATGTGTTGTGCAGGTAGGCAGTATGTTTGTATATGAAGTATGTGTATATGAACAGAATTTTTTGTGTGTGAACATCACATGCAGAGAACAAGCCTGTCAACATAGTAACTCAACAGCACACACAGTAAACCAAGAATAATAATTTTGCAAGATTTTAAAGAATATAACTGTGAATAAATTAACCCTATTTAAGAAGTAATTTGTCAGTTACTGTCTTCCTAATCATTTTGGTTAAATATTGATATGACCCTTAGGCTAGTTTTCAGGGCAGCTATGACAACATACTGAATTGCATTGAATGCCTTTGTTGCTAGTTTCTGTATATGCAGGTTCATTCATCTAACATTTATTTTACAGTAATGGTTTGAAATGTAAACAGTATGTACTCCACTTATGGACTTGCAGAACAATAACTGTTTGAAAACTCAGAAGTTGTGCTCAGAATCTGTGTTGAGACGCAGGGCAGATGGTTCTTCTTGATCTTTCAAACACGTGCAACTAACAGCTCTCAGGTT